GTTGTGAATGAGTCTTTCATTAAGAAAGTCACTTGTTTCATTCATAATTGATTCAGTGTTGTTGAATTAATTGTTTGAGTAATTGATTCAACGTTTCACTCATAGCCTCTGTCATTCCTGAATGCATTAGTTTTGTTGAACGAATAGTTGAATGATTCAATGACTCATTCATAAGGAAAGTCACTTGCTTCATTCCTAAATGATTCAGTGTTGTTAAATTAATTGTTTGAGTGATCAATTCAGTGATTCACTCATAGGCCCTTTTTAGTCCTGAAAAGATTAGTGTTGCTGAACGAATCCCTTGTGAATGATTCAATGACTCATTCATGAAGAAAGCTGATTGCTTGGTTCCTGAATATTTTTGAAAGAATCTGTTGTGAATATTTTAATGACTCACTCATAAAGACATAAATGACTTCACTTGTTCATGAATGAATCAATGTTTTTGAACAAATCTGTTATGAATGATTCAATGATTTGGCCATTAAGACATTGTTGAAAATGGCTGAATGAAACGTTTTTGAGCAAATCGGTTTTAAATGTCTCGCTCATTATACAGTCACTTATTGCCACCTACTGGCGTAACTACAGAGTACTTGCAAGCGCTATTTGATAAATAATATCTGCCATGTAAAATGTTTTTGCTATTGGTCAGTTGCGTATACTGATAATAAATATATGGCCTATATATAGTCCTACATAGGCCTCAGTGGCTGTGTTTATTTCTGCTGTGTCACTCTAAAACAGACCCAACCACAGAGAAACTTCAAAGTTCTGCTCTAAATAACAGTATACTGACCATCAAATATGTTCTGAGTAGCTGTGACATTCTGTCATTTTGTCTTAAGTTTTACTCAATGTGAAGTCCTGACAGGAGAGAGTGGATGGACAACACGAACAAAGAAAGAGAAAGAATGATGGACCATCGGAGATAAAACCATACCTGATAAAGTGGACAGAGTGGAAGAGTTACTGATGACTTCATTTCCAGAGAGAAGAGAGAGAGAGGGTTAGCCAAGAGAGATTTATTGCTGTTCTCTACATCTCTTAATTTTACATGCTGTCTTTTCTGGATGGGAGTTTAGGTTTTACCGGGCTGCCAGCAGTGATTTATGTCGCTATTCATCATATAGCACAGTAAAAAATATGAGTGTGTGGAGCAAGATATCCAGGTATACGTATCTCTGGGGGAACATTTTCAAAAGTGGCATTCTTGCGTCCATTAAAGTTAATGAGACGACATATATTGGCTCCAATTGACATACACAAGGCCGTGTAAACAATCATTAGGATTCCCAAGATGAAGGGCTCTGTTCGCACCATGCACCATGCACCATGCACCATGCACATTACAAGAGCTGTTTTTATAAATGGAGAACCACTTGTCTTCCGGCAAGTGAAGGGCACCTTTGATTGAGTTTAAAAGAATAGTTCCTCCCAAAATGCAATTCTGTCATTATTTACTCATCCTCATGTGACCGGTATAATCTGCCTCTCCCGGGTCCTCACCGCCACACCTCGTTCTCGCTCTATGCTCATTTTGTTCACAATGCTTTTTGTTCACAAAATTCAGCAATCAACCTAAAAATATATTTTAAAGGTTTATTTAAAAGAGATGTTTGTGTATATTTCAGTACATCTTTAGTGAACCAGGTGCAGTTAGAGCATAGAAATAAACAGCGCTTGCAGTGGTGCAATTCATTTTGGGCAATCTGTTCTTTGAACTCCACATATTTTTCTTGTTCTTGTTGTCTCTATTTTTACTCTCTGTGTTTGCTCCTGTGTGTGTGTATGTTTAAATGTTGTAGGTATGACTGCAGTAGTTAAGGAGGCTTATAGCCGCGGCCTGTTCACCTTGTCAGAACTTATCAGCTTGTTTCTGTTTTGTTATTGCCAGAGGCATGAATTAATTCAACTACAAATGCAGCATGCTTTGTGTGTTTTTCTTCTCTACCCTACTTTCCTCTCAATCGCTCATGCACAGAATCCATCCCTCATTTTTCCTTCTCTCTTGATTTGTCATATCTTTCTTGTTCCCCTTCTATATTTCTGTGGCAGTGAAGAGTACGCTACCTGAATTTCACACACATAAGCTGGTTTATTGGCATGCAGAAGCGGTAGCTGTGATATTAAAGTGGACTCATGCCCTCTCAGTGGTCTGTTTTTACATGGGTGGGTTTAAATTGTTATTGTTTCTGCCTTATGAGGAGGAGCTTTAGACGAGTCTAGCAAAGAGAAATAGCTTAGCTGTGTATCAAGGTTCCCTTTCATGGGAACTTCGAACTGCGTCCTCTAGGTTTCCCCATAGCGACCCCTAGAGGACGCAGTGTCTCGTTCCCTACTCAGGGAACCATGGTTACATAAGTAACCTGAGACGTTCCCTTTCATGGGAACTTCGAACTGCGTCCTCTAGGTTTCCCCATAGCGACCCCTAGAGGACGCAGTGTCTCGTTCCCTACTCAGGGAACCATGGTTACATAAGTAACCTGAGACGTTTTCCTCTGATTCAGAAAGAGAGAGTGTTAATACAAGATCACCTTAAATCTTAAACTCAAGCCTATGCCTTATTCCTCCATAATCCAAACCTCAAGTGTAAACTGTACTGTTTACCTGAACTCTTAACCTCATACCCTACATCAGGGGTGACAAACTGATTTTAGGTCACAAATTAGATTGAACTACACATGTCCTTAATAAGGGCAGTACATAAAGACTACACACTAACAAGACCAAAATATGAATAAAATAACAATGCTGATTTAATTACCTGATTTGGGTCAAACCAAAAAATTTACTCGTTTTACTTCTTAAAGGCCTTTAGATATACATCCAAAGTATTAATTAAACGAACTGAATTTAACTAACTAACTGAAAGTAACTAACTAATTTTATAGTAACTAAATGTCAACACGAAGTTATGCCAAAAAGGAAGGTGTACATCTCATTTTTAATTACAGTCATGCATCTATCAGTACCCTTGAATCGTGTCAGTGATAACAAATGAGAAATTGTCGTAGTAAGGTTATTAAATTTGTAATATTTTTCCTTTTACCTGTCTATATTGTCATTTTGATATAAGTCATTTACACAAACTTGTGAAATGGGTTGAGTTGCAACAGTGAATATGTGCATAAGTGCAAATGCTGGATGTGTTAAGCTCTAGCATCCAATGCAACTAATTCAAAACATAAAGTATCATAAATATATACAGTATATGTGACCCTGGACCACAAAACCAGCCGTAAGTCACTGGGGTATATTTGTAGCAATAGCCAAAATTGCATTGTATGGGTCAAAATTATAGATTTTCCTTTTATGCCAAAAATCTTATTGATGCTTTTTTTATCATAAGTAACTTGTTGTATGTGCCCAATCCATTGAGCTATAGCATGCAATGCCAAAAATAAAAAAATTTGAATATTATGAATATATAACATAATACAATACTGCAAATTTTACTGTTATTATTGATCACTATATTTTTGCCATAGGTGAATTGCACTCATTTCCCAATGGGAATGAGGGATATAAATTTTAAGCTATGCAAAGTTTGAAGTGCTGAATGCATTGAGCTGTATAGCATGCAATGCAACAAATTAAAAAGATGTTATGAATATATCAAATAATAACCTTGAATCTGAATCCAAAGTGCAGAATCCAGTAAACTATAGCATGCAATCATTGGTACAACCCTCCCTTCTCTCCAAGAACTGAACTTATCCAGAGTGAGCAAAAGGGCTGGCAGAATCACTCTGGACCCCTCACATCCAGCACACCCCCTCTTTGAACTGTTGCCATCTGGTCGACGCTACAGAGCACTGAGCACCAGAACGACCAGACACAGGAACAGTTTCTTCCCTCAGGCAATCCATCTTATGAACACTTGACAATAACTGTGGAACACACACTATTTATACACTCATACACTTATTTATCTAACACTCATACTCAGTCTACACCTAAAATTTGCACATAATATACAGTACCTGTACATACAAAACTGTCTATTGTAATATACCTGCACATACAATTGTCGATTTATATATTTTTATTCCTTATTTACTTGTTCTATTTTTTATTATCTGTGTTTTTTGTTCTGTCACTGTCATTCTGTTACACTGTGGAAGCTTCTGTCACGAAAACAAATTCCTCGTATGTGTAAACATACCTGGCAATAAAGCTCATTCTCATTCTCTCATTCTCAATGCAACAAATAATAATAATACATTAATGCAATTTTACTGTTATTAGTGATCACTTTATTTTTGCCATAGGTGAATTGCACAAATGAGAATGAACAGGTATGTAACAGTGAATCTGTGCAAAGTTTCAAGTGCTGAAAGTGTTGAGCTATAGCATGCAATGCAACAAATGAAAAGGATAGAATATAATGAATAAATTGTATAATAAATGAATGCAAAAAGTATTATAATTATTGATCACTTTTTGTCATAAGTGACTTAATAGTGGAAATCCATGAATCTGTGCATATGTGCAAGTGCTGAATCCATTGATGTATAGCAGGCAATGCAACAAATGAAAAGGATAGAATATTATGAATATTTCATATAATATATTCATGCAATTTTTACTGTGATTATTGATCAGTTTATTATAGATTTTCATGTCACATCAGTACCATATATAGTATATCGCACAAACCTTAGCATTTTGTTTAAAAAGTCATTGAGCTGATGTTTTGCTCATTGTGTTTGGGGGCGGCAAAAGATAATTTGAGTTGTGTGGGATGAATTTCAACAGATTGTAGCACATAAATCACAGTAATTCATATTTCTCCTTTACAATGGGCTCCTTGTTATGCACAAAATTAAGAAATCATCAAAAAGTCACAGCATCTAAAAAAGTCTAGATGCGTAAGCCACAATAATCCAAAAAGTTGCAACAAAGGTGAAAAAAGACCACTTTAAGAGCAAATGTCTATAAAATTTACGGAGGAATAACAAACGTTTCAGTCACAACGTGACCTTCAGTGCCTGGTATTAATCAAAATGACGATGCAATACAACAAACAAGCATTTTAAGGCAACATTTTCTCTGTTCAAACAGAATTCTTGATTGTTAGTAAAGATACAGTGACTAACTCGCCTCTTAGTTTGGCCCCAATTGGTCTCTTAGATTCATGGATCCGTTGGATCCTTCGAGTGTGTTCGGGGACAGTAGCTTTTCCTCAGCTGTTCGGCTTTGGTTTTGGTTCTCTGTGATTTCAAGGGAAGCTCAGGGCAATGTTTCTCCTTCCACAGCAGGAAACAGAAGTTGTAGCTGAAACTTGCCTCAGGGCTTGCTAGATCATCCAGCAAATCCACTGCTGTATTTTGGTCCTTTCCTCTGGACTTCGTGTCGAACTGGTGTCAGACTATCTGTCTTTCCTTTTGAATGCATATTGAAAAGCACATTTTACATGCCCGCTGAGTTTCTCTTTGTGACTCACACTTCAGACGAGATGGCTTTGAACCTATTCGAAATGACTAGTGCTGGATCTGGAACAAGCAAACAGACATTCATGAGATTTTTATGACAGCAGGGCATCAGGCATGACAGCACGGATGTGCAGCTGATTGACAGCGAGAGGGAAGAGGTACTGACAACCTGTTTCAAATGACTTTACCTTTGGATTTGTCTCTTATAACCAGACTTTTGACAGTCAACATTCACATTGCATCTTATTTTGACCAAGAACTACTTATGACAATGGCTTGTTGCAATGCATAAACACTATATTGCTCCTATAGCATTGAATTTCCCTTGTCTGAAATAAATAAAATGCTTTTTTATCACAAATATCAGGTGTGAATTCACTGCTCCAAATTGTATTGGTGATATATTTAACCCTTGTTCTGTGCTGAAAATCCTTTACCTAATTTGGTATTCCTGGTCAAAAATGGCCCACATTTTGAAAAAGGTGCTTGTAAATAATTATGATGTATTATCACCAAATCTTGGATTCAATCTTTTTGTCAAGGTTTTGTATTTGTTTTTGGAACTGATTGATCATAGGCCTCACTGATCTCAGCTTATGCTCCTCAGTTTATGAGTGAACATTGCTAAAATAATTCAAAAATAATGTTTTTTTAACTCAAAAACTGAGGTGCATGAGGTGCATGTAATTGAAAGAAAACAAGATGGTAAAAAGATTGAATACAACATTTGGTAATAATAAGACATTTTTAAGAAATGTTTTTGTAGGTCGGTCATTTTTGACAAGAAACATTACAATTGTAACAAGGTCGGGGAAAAATGTCTCGGGTTATGCATGTAACTGACTGTTATGTTTAAATCAGATTGTGAGATTTCTTTAGTCTGGCCTACTAATTTAATAAAAATTATAGTTTGTTTCTAACCATGTACAGTACACTGGTGTAAAATGACAAGTAAGTTTTTCTTTCTTTTCCATGATTTTTCATGCAAATTTAACTTCAAATAAACTTCAATGATATAAGGTTGTAAGAGGTTCATCCAGGCTTACAAAAGTGAGAAAAACGTAAAACATTTCCGTCTATAAAATAGCAAGTAAATCACTGGAAAGGCAGGATCATTTAAACAGACAATACTGTACTTTACAGTGCAGGTGATTCTAATCTAATCTTTTGTTGATGTTGTTTTTGGTAGCTTGCAGTGTTTGGTAACTTTTTTTTTTGATGCCTCTATTATTTTGTGTGCAAACATTGCCATTGATTTTTACTATTACCACATTTTGTGTATCAAGTATTAAAGTCATTGTGTGTGCCTGGGTGCTTTCTAAATGTATGTTATTAGGCCTTGCTGTTCACAATTTAGACAATATGCATTCAATTCTACTTATCATTAGGTTTTGTGTCCTAGTATGACATTTGAACATTTGTATATAATAAAGTTTGGATACAAAATAGTTGAAGTAAATTCAAACTTTCAAGTGCAAATATGTTCAAGGTTGAATGTAAAAAAAAAAAAAAAGCTAAATATTTTCTGTTGTATTTACTTCACCACAAAACTGTGGCCATTCTAAAGCAATGCAAATTTTTGCCATCAATTTACAGCCCTAACAGTTTTCTGTTATTGCTGATATTACCTTTCAGAGTTATTCAATAAGATTTGTTTTTAAATGATTGTACTGCATTTATATTGCTGTCACATTTCTGCAAATCACTGTTGCAGCGATACATGAATGTGGCTGTAGTGTTTCATATTCTCATTTTAATTTTAACGAGTACTCAATGGGACAGAATGAAGCGTACAGAAGATATCATTATTTCAAGCCTCATGTTAGTTACCCTGATTATCTCTCTATTTTTGATGATGTTTTGTCTATTGGCCCTATTAAAGATGTAGTACCTTCAAGGGGTTTTTAGACTTTTAAATGGATCCTCAAATGCTTGAGTGTGTTTTATAATGAATAATAAGCCATTATATTGTCTCATTGCTATTTATGTTTATGATACACCATTAGTCATATTTTTGCAATTTGAAGCTGCATGGTAAAAGCATCATCAAATTGTTCTTTAATCGTCGTGTTAGTTAAGGTTAAATCAAGGTGGATGACACAGTGTTTGTGTGCAAATCATAATTTTGTTGATGTTTTGTTTTCTACATTTGTCCTTTATTAGGTTTAAGCAAAAAAGCAGCTGATTCTCAAAAAGTGCAGACTAAACTCAATGTCAGCATTCTTATAATTGTACGCCCTTGGAAAAACAGCTCATTTTTGTAGCTAAACACATTCACAGAGGATTCCGCAGTGACTTTATAAAGTGCTGTGTTTACAGAGACTTTGTTTAGGGCTGTAGTTAAATAGTTATTTTGGCAAATTCTTATGACATGGCATTTAATTCAGGAGATGTCAAATTCAATATTACACAAATGAGTTAAAGAAATCTTTAGCAGGTTGTCAGGGAATTGCTATGCAGATGCTAAGGTTTTCTGGGTCAGTTGCTTATTAAAATAATCCACCCTCAAATAGCTGTAATTGTCACGTGTATGTTCCTAGTTGTCCTTATTTGGTTTGATTCCTGTTGTATTTAGTTCCATTTGTGTCAGCTGTGTTCTATTAATTATCCTGGATTACTCCTGATTCAATATTACACAAATGAGTTAAAGAAATCTTTAGCAGGTTGTCAGGGAAGTGCTATGCAGATGCTAAGGTTTTCTGGGTCAGTTGCTTATTAAAATAATCCACCCTCAAATAGCTGTAATTGTCACGTGTATGTTCCTAGTTGTCCTTATTTGGTTTGATTCCTGTTGTATTTAGTTCCATTTGTGTCAGCTGTGTTCTATTAATTATCCTGGATTACTCCTCACCTGTTTCTGTTCTCCCTGATTGCGTTTCATGTTTTTATAAGCCCTGTGTTTTCCTCAATTCTCTTGTCTTCTGTTGATGTTGTTTAGTGGTTCTCCTTGCTCCTGGTATTTGTCCTGATTTGAAGTCTGATTAAAGACTGTAATTTCCACTTACCTTTATTGTTGTGTGCGCCACTACAACCACAAATCGTGACAGTAATATTCTGGTCTCTATGACTCTGGCCACTCTGTCAATAAATCAATAAAGTATTCTTAACATAAAATTACCATGTAGATTTATTTAAATACTCTTTGAAGTGGAAAATGAATTAAATGCATGGCAATAAAATAGCTAAAACAAGTTTCTTTCAAGTGAACTATTGCCCAGCTAACAAGGAAACGCTCTCAAAACTTTCAAGGTTCTTTCAAAGTATGAACAAATGTCCTTCCAGCAAAATTAACAAAATGTTCATTCAAAGTCGTCCGGTCTTTAATAATGTTCTCAAAACGTCAACATAAAAATGTTATTTATACATCATTCATGGAACTTTTTTCCTTAAATGTTGGATGTTCATCTTTGTTTTTTAATGTTACTACTCATTTTAGAATGTTCAGAGAACATTAACAGTAATGTTCAATGTTTGCAAAATGATGAATGTTCCCTTAACGTTCATATAACCAAATAAAAGTGTTTTTAAAACATTAAAAAAAAAAACATCTCGGGTTACGCATGTAACCATGGTTCCCCCGAAGGGAACGAGACACTGCGTCGAAATGCTAAGGGGAACGCCTTCAGTGTGACCACGCTCTGAATCACATGTGTAATCAGTCCAATGGATGGGCGAGACATCACAGGCGGGGTGACGTAACGACCAGGAAGCTTAAAAGCATGTGCGGTGGAACCGGTGTCAGCTTCTAGGAAGGAAGCAAGCGCTCGCAGGGATGCCGGAAGTATGGCAATGGGATGCAGCATCTCGTTCCCTTCGGGGAACCATGGTTACAAGCGTAACACGAGATGTTCCCCTTCAGGAACTCGAGCTGCGTCGAAACGCTACGGGAACGAGAATGCCCACGCCGCCAGACTTACAAATCCCTGCCTAGTGTGGAAGAGATCAGCTAAAGCGAGAGAACGGAGCCAGGAAGGGCGCAGAAAGCAGGTAGGCACCTGACAAAGTACGCGGGGACATTTCGCCCAAAGGCCAAATTCAGAAGGAGTGAGTCTTGACCCCCAACGGAGAGGGGAGATCAGAGGACTCGAGGCTATGGAATAGCATCCTGATCCACCGCTTAGCATAAGCTTCTCTGGCCGGAGGCCTCAGCGCACCGCGGAGGAAACGTGTAACTAGGGGGTGTCTGCCCACTGACTGGCCACCGAGAGGGGCGTGGTAGGCCGCAATGGCTGCCACGTAGACCTTCAGGGTGGAGTGGGTCAACCCTGCGGAGAAACGGGCCTGCAGGAACTCCAGCACTGTACCAACTGGGCAGTTAACTGGATCGAGTTGGCGGTCTCCGTAACAAGAAGTGAAAAGTTTCCACTTCAAGGCCTACAGTTTCCTCATTGAGGGAGCTCTGGATTGGAGGATGGTCTCAACAACCTCGGTTGAGAGACCAGAGGCTATGAGTCCAGCACTGTACCAACTGGGCAGTTAACTGGATCGAGTTGGCGGTCTCCGTAACAAGAAGTGAAATCAAGGCCTACAGTTTCCTCATTGAGGGAGCTCTGGATTGGAGGATGGTCTCAACAACCTCGGTTGAGAGACCGGAAGTTACGAGTTGTGCCCCCTCAGGGGCCACACCCATAACTTCCAAAGCACCGGGCGGGGGTGGAATATTGTGCCATCCACCTGTGAAAGGAGGTCCCTCCTGATGGGAATCCCCGATGGAGAGCCGTCGAGAAGGGAAATCAGGTCCGAGAACCATACTCGGCCCGGCCAGAATGGGGCTACAGCAGACGGACCCCGTTCCGGCACACTCTCTCCAGAAATCCCGGGAGCAGAGCGATCGGGGGAAAAGCGTACAGACGAAGCATCGTCCACGTCTGTACCATGGCATCCAGCCCCCGTAGAGCTGGATGAGTCAGAAAGTACCAGAGGGGACAATGCGATGTCTCTCGAGTCGCGATCAGGTCCACCTGAGTCTGGCTAAAAACTCTTCGTACCCCGGGCCTCGGCCCCTGCCTCGACAGGATGTCTGCTCCCA